GGGGGGGGGGGGGGGGGGGGGGGGGGGGGGGGGGGGGGGGGGGGGGGGTGGTGTACTCATAGCCGTGCATGCCGTCGTCGTTAGGCCATTGGCCTCGCATCCCTATGAAGCCGGGGCCGAGCAGGGCTTGAAAAATGCGGGTGTGGGGGTTCGTCCCATTCATTCTGGCGCAGCGTACACCTTTCGCTCGGTGGTGGTACCAATCTGTTTGACGTATCGACCAGGATCACATAGGAGGAGGCTTACACAGACAGGCGGTTGTTGAAGCAGTTTTCTTGTATTGACGCCCCGCCGTTTTCGAACGAAAACTTCAGAGATTCAATAGCATTCCACAGAGATGACTAACTTCCAACCTGATGCTGGCTAGAAGTTTTACGAGGAAGGTGACCACGAGGCCACCGGGGCGACGGATTTGGAACATGTGAACATCAAGATTTGGTCACTTTTCATGCTTCGATATTTCTTCCTCTCGCGGCGGCGCGTCTTTTCTCGCGATTCCTTCTCAGGGGCACGCAGGAGGCTCGTCGGTACATTAACGATTGGGCTCGGAGCTCGGTAGGCCTCCGTGACGCGCGAGATTTAAATGTACATTGTCGATTAGTCCCAGGTGTGGGATGCTACACGTATCTGTCTGCACCTATTATAACAGGAAGCAGACTTTCACACCTCGTGCAACCATTTTTTCAGTCGTATTTTTTTCGCCAGCCAACTACTGGGTCAGAAAATTGATGGATGACGGGCTCTTGTTTCGTTGTTTACAACCAACAATTGCTGCACTGCCCCAGAATGTTGGGCGACTATGTTGTTCCAATCAACCATAATATTGGCTCAGACTCACCATAGGTAAGGGTTGTTTACCACTCTCACCCAACACATAGACATGCAAATGTTTTTTTTGCGTAGCTGTGCTGGTGTGAACACTTCCTAGGCCGTCAAAACCCCTCTCCAAAAATGCGCTGTATGTTACTTAATTAACCTATAGACCAAAAGACAAAGAGGGACAAAGAGCGGCATGCGCACAGAACCTCAGTTGCATCGGTTACGACTCCGCTCTGTCTCGGAAGTTGTAGTCAACGCGATACCCGCCTACAACAGCAGTAGCAGTGCTGTGTCTAGTCACCCACACTTCCGGTGTACCCTACAGTAGTCCTCGCCAACAGGCTGCTTTCGCGTGGCTGTGACTCTCTCCGTCTCCCACAACAAAATTGCCACATGGAGTATTCCACATACCGTAGGCTGCACGATGTGAGATAACACCCCCCCTCTGGACAGATATTCATACCTCGGCTACTGCACGACGAAGAGGACGCCAAAATCAAAGGACACCTTGCCAAAATGCCTTCCACTAAACGGTTCCACGCCTAGCCATTTTCGACGCAGCAGTCACTGCTGTTTTCGCTGTAGAGCAATCGAGTTTGATAATCGATCCAGGAGGTACGGTATCGCCATGTGGCAACAGCCTTTGTTGTCTGCGTACTTGTATGTGTTTCGTTATTTTGGTACAAGGAGCATTGTTACCCCACGACTCTTTTTGCTGCACACCGAGCATAGTATATCCCCGCGCCATAATAAGACCCTGGGGTCTAGCATACACATTATTTGCACGCAAACAACAATCATGAAACATGAGACGGAAGGGGTCTACTTCGCACACCACTGCAAGTGCAGCAGTAGACATAACGCGGGGGTCCAGCGGCTCTATTCCAACGAACTTTAGATTGTACACCAGACTCACAAAAACGTCGACTTCGCAAGACGGGCGCACGTGGGCGATCGGCAGCGAGTCGAAGACGGCGTGTGTGTGTTTCTCTGGCGCCGGGTTGTGGTTCAGTGCACTCGCTGCGGGAATGCTACGTTACTTCCGAACACACGAACATTTACGAAGATCGCATATATTTAGATTCCTCCGCAAACCGCCAAGCAAACGCTGTGTGAGACAAACACACAGGTCGGGTCGTGCGTTACCCACCTGAGGACGCCCTCCCAGCGAAGCGGAGCTGCTAGTGGGCGCGCACTCCACATGGCCAAGGTCACTATCCCGAGCATCGACTACAGTAGTGGGTACAGCAGGCGTCATCTTAGCGTCGCTGCTGCAGTGGTTGAGAGCACCAAGAGGGTGTCTCCACAGATTGCCCACTGCTGTTCTATTACTACTCCCGCCATCATGACCCTCGGCGGAAGGTTCTACGTCCTCCCATCCTGGTGCAGGCTGAACCATAGCGTGCGCTAGCGAGCCATTTGCTTTTTTGTCCTGAGGGTATTCGCCTTGTCTCTGGAGGCCACAACCCGTCGTCTTCGGGCAACCCTCTTCCTCCATCCCTCCATGTCCAGTGCTGAAGGTCGGTGTTTTTTTTTTCTTCTCACGAGTCAGAACGCCACCGAACGCGTTAACTCCCAGCCGTTTCATTTCGACGTGTTGTTGTCGTCGTCGTTGTTGTTCTTTTCTTCACATCAAACTCGTGTCAGTTGCGAATCCCAAAATCTAGCATAGACTCGGTCCGAGGTCGCAAAAATGCAGGAGCCATTAGCAAGAAAAGGGTACACAAGCAAGCCCGAGGGGGTAAAATTTCAATCCCTGCAGCACGTTTGCGTGCTCACGACTGAACTACACGCCCACACTAAGTAAAATTCGACTACAACAGCACCAGCATCACCCCCCCCTGTCCCGCACTTTACCAAAATGAATGTTGGTCGACTACATACAGCGTCCTGCTGTCTGAAGTGCTGTCTGTACAATAATAACACCATGTTCGTGAGGTGGATTATGCCATCCTTACGAAGGCTACTATGGTGATACTCATTTAAAGGAAAGCCCGCCCGACGGTGGCTTGCCTCCTAGATGTAGTAGATGTAGATTCTGCCGTAGAAACTCTTGTCCACGAGCACGTTGAGATGGGAAGGTTGCTTGTTATTGCAGAAGCGGGTCTGCTACAGGTCTGAGGTGAGGCGGATTGCCCTCAACCTGGGGGCACGCAGATAGCTAAGTCCCGATGGGGTACGTCCTAAGAGGGTATACCTCCTGACGTCCCCCATCTTTATGTAGACCGACTGTGTACCCTATCTGTGCCATACAGCAACACTCCTTAACACTAGCCCACCCTGAAGATCATCTATACNCAAAATAAGTCAATATCAACGCCACACACCTCTCACTCTATTTCGCGCGCAAGCGCGAATTACGACTGGAGGAATGAGGGTGGGGACACAAGAGAGTCCAGATTTACTCCCGCAAAATTCAGTGGGACAGGACGACGGGCACACTACGGCTGAGTGCGCTGACCACAAAAGGTAAGACTGACAGGACGTTCATGGCCAAAACGGAAGAGAGGCGTTAATTGCCACCCCAACCAAACTGCACAAAGAAACGTAGAGTCCAAACCATGTAAAACCAATGGCTCGACGAGGCACGAATGATCAAAGTCGAAAATTAATGCGACTAGCCACCCCATATCTTGCACAGACGGGCGATGATGAAACACAAACACACAACACATACATAATATAAACAGAAAACACATAAACATGCATATGGTCCGTTCGGGCAAATATTCACGATCTTGTTTTTCGCGATATCTTTCGAAAAAAAACGATTTGGAAAGTGAAACAACTTTTTTGGGCGTGACCGCGGCGTCGAGCTTCGTCGATATCCGATGAGTTTTTGGTGATGGGATGAAATGCGACATTTTTGACCAAAATGACCCACGGAGCCCCCACCCCCCACCCCCCGCCCCCTCATGACCCCACGGAGCCCCGAAAGTACACCACGACCCCCCCTCAACCCCTCC